GACCCATCCTCTCTAAACGGATCCGCTCAGCGGCCAGGCCCAAAGGTGCTAGCCTATTTCTGGATAACTCCTGATCGCTCCTCCTGCCTGAAGGAGAGCATCCTCCCCCCCACAGCAGTTTCCACGGGCGACCCGATAACAGACGTCGTAGAATTGGGAACGACGGGGCGTTCACGCGCTCAGGAGCCACCAGGAGGGCTGTCAGTCCCTCTTCCTGAACTCGGTTCAGAAACCGTGATATCAGAGGGAGTGGGGGAAATGCGTAAAGAAGCATTTTGGGCCACGGGCTGTGAGCAAACGCGTCTACCCCTAGCGGTGGTTTGTCCCGCGGGCTCAATGAGAACCGTAGTTGACACTGAGCGTTCTCTCATGTGACAAACAGGTCCACGGCCGCTCTGCCAAATTTCTGCCACATCTGAGCCATCAGCTCAGGATGGAGGCTGCAGTCCCTGTGACACGGACCGCCCCTGGACATCACTTCTGCTCCTCTGTTCAGAACACAGGAGATGTACACTGCTCTGACGGAGAACAGATTTTGGTGTGCCCAACACAGCAGCCGTCTCACAATGTGTAACATTTGGGCTGAGCGCACACACCCCTGCCGGCTTATGTATGCTGCAGTCACTTTGTTGTCTGTATGAATCAGAACATGTTGATTCCGCAGCACAGGAGCAACGTGTGATGTAGGTCTGCTGACAAGAACTCCCTCCAACAAAACAAGAGGGTTTCCCCAGTATCTCAGGTTGATTCTCACGGAAGGGGGCACAGCAATCAACCGTCTCTCTCAGCTGGGCTTCACGTGGTGGAGCTGGTCCTTTAGAGCTTCAGTTCTTGACTGAGATAAACAAGCCCTCATAGTGACTGAGTTTAGCTCCACTCCCAGATAAACAATCGTCTGGGTCGGGAGAACTGAGCTCTTCTCCCAGTTTATGGTGAAGCCCAGATTTTGTAGGGGTGACATCATCGCCTGAGTTTGCAATGCTGCCTCCTGTCTAGAACGGGTCAGCAGCAACAGATCGTCCAGATAAAACAGAATTCTCATCCCTGCCCTGTGTAACGGCTGCAGAGCCGACTCCACACATTTTGAAAATGTGCGAGGCTCGAGGGAATACCCGAATGGAAGTCTGTTGTATTGATACTCGGTCCCTTGAAAGGAGAAGCGCAGGAACTTTCTGTGCCTTGGAATGATCGGAATGTGGAAGTAGGCGTCTTTCAGATCGATGGAGGTAAACCAGTCGTTTTGCTGAATGTTGTCTAACAGTTGTCTGGTTGTCAACATGTGAAAATGTCTCTCCATGATCGACTTGTTGAAAATAGACAAATCCAAGATGGGTCTCATCCCTCTGGTCTGTTTTGGGACCAGGAAGTAATGAGAGTAAAACCCTGATTTTCCTCTCTATCTGGAATCCTGGAAATTACATTTTTTACCAGAAGTTCCTGAACTTCTGCGTGGAGGAACGAGATCTGTTCTGGAGATGACAGAACCATCTCTAAAATTCCTATGGGGAGGGGGGAGGGGTGTGTGTTTGAGCTGCAAACTGCAGCATGTATCCCCTGCTGATAAGACGGTTCATCCATCTGTCTAGAGCGCACACTCGCTGCCACTCTGCGTAACATTCGGGGAGCGGGCACGCGTTTTTGTGCTGGGTCATGTTTTTTACGGACACCGCTGTCATGGGCTGCGGAGGCGTACTCTGAGCGACCCAAGGGGAGGCTTTCTCGAAAGGGTCCTGAAGGCGCCTCTGTGCCACACTCAGGCTGCGGGCTCACATCCATGCTGATGTGAGCTGGTGTACGCTAAGGGGAGGCGTGCGCGCCCTTGGCCATGCGGTGCCGTTTAGGTGAGGGTTGCCGCGGGGGCGCGCGTTTCTCACCGCTGCAGTCAGAGGAGGCAGCGTACAGCCTGGGCTGAGAACGAGGTTTTCCACTGGACTCGGTATGCTGAAAACATTCACTTTTGGCTGCTGTGTCACACGTGCGTTTTGTGTGTTTTCTCAAGCTGCTGTGATTTTTTAAAAACCTGTTTTGAGGACACCGGCTCGCTTTGTGTGGAGGATGTGTGAGGATAAGCCGCTGTGAGATCATTCGAACTGACAGTCAGGCTGAAATCAGACACTTTAATTTCTGAATGATGTTAGTGTTTTATTTCAAAACTCAATCAAGCATTGTACACATACATCCTCCGCCAGGAGTAATTTTTTGAATCTTCTCCCCCGTGAGCCTTGCGGCTGGTGTTTCCAGGGCGGCGCCTGTTGGCGGTCTCTGGGGAAATGCGGCACCGCTGGTTGCCAGGATGAGGAGGGCTGTTCTCTGATGGGAGGGGCTGGCAGCAGAGCAGAGCGAGAAGACTCTGCTACAGCTGTGGAACATCTCTGCTGCTGTTGCTGTCTCTGGCCACGGCGCTATCTCCAGTGGGAGGGGGGAGAGGGAATCGAAGGAGTGTGGCTTGATCAAATGGCACACAGTCGCCGACACCTCCTCCTACTTTTTCAATTTCTCGAGCATGGCCTTGAAATTGGCTCCAAACAGTGCATCCGTCGTGAAGGGGCCCCCCAGCAAGTCCTTCTGCAGCTTCTCCGGCAGGAAGGGGGAGTGACAGAGACAGGTGGACCTCTGGATCATCGTCATCCAGGCTGCGATGCGAGACAGGTAGACAACAGAGGAGGCGCACAGGTTGAGGATGACGTCAGACACCTTGCAGAGGGAGCTCTTCATCTTCTCAGGCAGGCCTGTTTCCTCCAGCCTCTTTGAGATGCTGTACGCCAGCAGTGCAACATTTTTCTTCGCTGCGGCTGCCTGGAACGCACACTGGTGAGTTCGGTTGGAGAGCGACGTCACCATCTGGCCATGCTTCCCCGGATGCACAGGACGCTGGTCCAACCTGGACATCTTCGCTCTGAGAGCCTCCGCCAGGCTTGGCTCCAGGGGGGGCACCGAGGGAAAATTCCGCTCAGTAAACCCCTTCACTCTGCTGATGGGCACGAATGTGGAAACCGGCGCTTTCAGTCTACCAGGTCCGGCTACAGCCTCGTTCCAGTAGGACGTCACTGCTGGGAAACGAGGCCAGATGGGATCAGGACAGCGAGCCAGGGTGGAGCCAAACCTTCCCGCTAGATCATCCGATCTGGGCGGGGGGAGGAGAGGGACGGAAAGTCCCTTCGTGTCAGCTGCGTCCTGGATTATGCTGGGCAGCTCCGAGGGGAGGGCACCGATGGCTGGGAGCAGTGTGGTCGCTGATGCGGAAAGGCCCGTGGGGGGTGAGCATCTGCTCGCCCCCCCTCGTTCCGACACTACGCTCTCCAGGAGGGAGTGAGCAGCGGGGCTGCTGCTGACGTCGCCTGTCCCGAGGAACCATCCGATTCGCTCCGAGAGTCGGCATTAAAAAAGTCGATGGCATCGTCCAGCGAACAGTCCCCTGCCATGGAGAGGCACTCCTCGACATTAGCCTTGAACAAGGCTGCTCGCCTCTGCCTCTCTTCCGGGGAGAGGAGGTCACAGAGGTGGCAGGAGGAGGCGAGGTCGGCATGGCGGGGACTCAGGCATCCTTCGCAGATGTTGTGCCGGTCAAAACTCGGCATGTAGCCGGTCTTGCAGGATGGACACATGCGGATGATGTTGGTGTTAGACATTGCGTTGTTTGAAGCACAGTGCTATTAGCTTGCTGAAGAAAAATGGGAGCCTATTACCCGCTCTTAACATAATTTATACGGACAGGGTGGGGCCCACATAACAGGTGGGTGTGGACTAAACTTTACAGTGCGATGCTTTGCATGACGGGATAAACCCACCAGCGACAGCTCTTAAAGGGCAACGCCTATACGAAATAGAACGAGCTAGAGTTCGATTAAAGCGGACTAAACAGGGCTGGTCTGAATGCACCCTTAGGCTACACTGTGTTTCTTAGACTGTGACAAGGATGCATGAGAGAGCATGCTCTAGTCACACAAGGAGAGCTGTTGGTCAGGTTACTTCTTGTTGTGCCATTAACTCTAAAATAGTTATTGAATCAAGTGTTACTTACTGTATGTAGGTAAAACTAGATGTTAAACAAACCATTAAAATACACCAGAAATCAGGAAGTGGCATCTACTTTATTCAAAATTTTCTGGGGGAGATGACATGTATTCATTCAACATTTATTTAGACATGTTAATCCCATTGAGCCTCGGGGACTCATTTACAAGAGAGACCTGGTTTTAACAAAGAGTTATGACAACAATAGACAATCATAACAGGATGCATACAAATTGAGAATAACAAGTGAAAATAAAATGGTATTTAAAAAAATGTAACAAAAAACAGTTAGGTTGTAAGGGGATGTAGAAAACTAAAAACAGGAACATGTCTGCATTGTTTTTTCCCAGGAACTTAGCAGATGTTTGAAGCCACTAAGAGAGGTCAAGGTCAAGAGCTTCAGATCTTTTTGCAAGATATTCCAGGAAACAGGAGCAGAGTAGGAGAAGGCCCTTTTGCCTAGTTCAGTCCTCACTGAGGGGACACTGCATGTAATAATGTCCTGAGAGCACACACTGTAGCTGCACTCACGCAGAGACATGTAGGAGGAGCTGTATGAAGGCAACAGACCAAGAAGAGATTTAAATATGAAAATGTACCAGTGAGCGAGTCCATGTACTGTATGTATGGAGAGAAAATGCAAACTCCACCCAGAAAGGCCTCTGGCTGGGATTCGATCCAGCGACCTTATCGCTGAAAGGCGACAGCTGTACCAACTGTGCTATCGTGCTGCAATTGTCACAAATATATTGAAAATAAAGACACGTGTGAATCGTTGTGGGAAAAAAGCATAAAATTGTGTTGTGGTAAAAACAAAAGCATTGTTGACTTTCTGCTTATTATACTGTATATTTAGCTATTTTGTATGATAATGACGAAAATAACAAGATGAAAGTAAAATACAGTCATCTCTTTATGTGTAAACAGACAAAACTTGGTCCCAGTGGCATTACAGTGTCTCTTTGTCCATGTGGTTGTCTCCACAGATCAGGGTGGATGGAGCTCCGGATGGAGGAGTGCTGTATGAGACACTGCCTGTGATGAAGGACAGCAGCTGCCCCATCCTCCGGGACATGGCCTTCTCCTTGGACAGGAACTCTCTCTATGTCATGTCTGACAACCAGGTAAGGAATACGCCCTAATTTTGGTGCTGCTGTCAGGAGACACTCTGAGCTGGGTGGGGGTGCAGTGAGTGGTGAAAGTCTCAATTTGAAGGAAACCCTGCAGGTTCGAGTCACTTTGAAATCGAGCCTTCAGCATAGTGATGTGTCCTTGAGCAAGACGCAGAATATCTAACAAGAAATCTGAAGGTGAAAGTTTTATCTGACAAGATGACATTTGATTCAGTGGAATTCATAAGTGTGTAATAATATTTCCTGTTACGACCCGGCTCAGCCAGGAGAAGGGGAGGTAACATTAAAAACCCAGATGGAACAAGTTTGAATAAAAGTAATAATTTAATTGGTCAGTTTAAAACAAAATTTAACATTAACAAAAGAAGGGGTACTTTCAAAGTACCAATTACAACAAAGTTTTCCTAACCAAGTCAATAACAAAATTAAGGTTAACCAAGTGTATGAATACTCAAACCAAATTTACAATGAGTCAAAACAAAAAGTAAACAAGTAAGCCTTCTAACCACTTTCAGGGGCTTACAAACAACACCGACAACCAACTGCAACTGCAGGATTTAACTGTTGGCCAAAGCCAAACAATTCAAGTCAAGAGACCAGAGTCCAAAGACACAGAAACCCATACTAGTGGCGAGCTGCTCTAAACAACAGCCGCCCTGTATGTTGTTGTTGTTGTTTTTGAGGTTTTATTGGCGGTTGGCAAAAAATGTTGAGGTTGCATTACCGCCACCTACCGATATGGAGTGTGGCTCAAAATGTATCTTATTCTATGCTATATTCTATTAATCACCTTTGTTTTCCAGAAAAATCTAATTAAAATCTGAGTACTTTTGCTATCTGAATTTCCCTGTAGTATATTTATTAAATTAAACTTTTCTTTATTTTCCCTAAATTCTTCCAACATTAATCTCCTTTCTCTCACATATCTTCTACATACTAAAATAATATGTTCTATTGTCTCGTTTTCTCCACAATATTGACAGTTTCCTCTATTATGTTGCTGTATTTTGTATAGCGAACTGTTAAGTCCATCATGTCCAAATCTTAACCTTGTTAGTTTCTCCTCTCTTCTATTTTTTCTTCCTACTCTCATTTTTCCTACTCTTTTTTGAATCATATACCACCTTCCTTTGTTATCTTCATCCCATTCTTTCTGCCACCTTTCCCTCAATTTTTGTTTAATTATACTTTTTGCTTCTGATTTGCTTGTACTCACTGTAAAATTAACTTGTCCTGTTGTTGCCTTTTTTGCTTCCCTATCTGCTATTTCATTACCCTTAATCCCAATGTGAGCTGGAACCCAAATAAATATAACTGTTAAACCCATCATTTGTATCCTGAATAATGTTTGCTGTATTTCTATTAAAATGTCTGGTCTACTGTCTGAGTGGTTGTATTTTAGACTGGTTAATGCTGAAATAGAATCTGAGCAAATTATTGTTTTTAAAGGTCTAATTTCTTCTATCCATTGTATTGCTAATAATAATGCTAATATTTCTCCTGTGTATACTGATAACCCATTTGTAACTCTTTTTCCTTGTCTTATCTGAAATTCTGGTATAACAAAGGCTATTCCTATTTCTCCACTTGGATTTTTTGATGCATCTGTAAAAATCTGAATATGATTATAGTAGTTTATATATATATATATATATCTGTACTGTGTTTGAATTTAAAATATATCCTTTATCCTTCTTTTTGTCTAAAAGAGTTAAATCTACTATTGCATCTGGTAGGATCCATGGTGGTACTGCTGGCAAAGGCACCACTGGACTAATTCTTAAGTTGGTAATTTGTAATTCTTCTGCCTTTCTATTAATTACCCATCCAAAACTCCTTGTTTCCTTTTTCTTTTTTTCCCCAACATGGTTTTAAAGTTTCGATTGTTGGATGGTTTGACTTATTTCCTTGTAAATTAATCCAGTAGCTTATTGCTAATTGTATTCTCCTCAATTCTAATGGCATTTCTCCCATTTCAACTTTAATTGCTGCTGTAGGTGTGGTTTTCAATGCTCCTGTACAAATCCTTAGCGCTTGATGTTGAATCCTGTCCAGTTTTTCCAGATGTGTCCTCGCTGCTGACCCATAAAAAATACTTCCATAATCTATATTTGATCTGATCAAACCTATGTAAATTCTTTTTAAAGCCCCTCTTTCTGTCCCCCAATCACTTCCCGCTAAACATCTCATAATGTTTAGAAATTTTTTACATTTATCAATAATTTTTTGTATATGAATATTCCATGCTATTTTCTCATCAAACCATATTCCTAAATACTTTATACATTTTACTCGTTCTAATTCTTGATTATATAATTTAATTTTAACATCCTTTATCTGTCTTTTCTGCGTAAACATCGTCACCTTTGTTTTTTCTACAGAGAATTTAAACCCCCATTGAAATGCCCAATTTCTCTATTTTAACAATAGCATCTTGAATTCTTTTAGCAGTAAAGTCTACATTACGTCCCCTCTTCCAAATGGCTCCATCATCCGCAAAAAGCGAACAGCCCATTCCCTTTTCAATTTCTGCAAAAACATCATCTATCATTATAGAAAACAGTATTGGGCTTATAATGCTGCCCTGCGGTGTTCCATTTTCAACTGTATAATTTTTAGAAAGATGTTGACCTATTCTAACTTGTAAATTTCTATTTGATAAGAAGTCCTTAATCCAATTAAACATTTTACCATTAATACCCAATTTATGTATTTTGATTAATAATCCTTCTACCCACAACATCCATCCATCCATTATCTTTACCCGCTTATTCCATTTTGGGTCACGGGGGTCGCCGGTGCCCATGTCCAGCAATCACTGTGCGAGGGGCGGGGTACACCCTGGACGGGTCGCAAGTCCATCACAGGGCCACATAGAGACAAACGAGACAAACAACCATTCACTTTCTCACTCACACCTAGGGACAATTTAGAGTTACCAATCAGCCTAACATGCATGTTTTTGGTCTGTGGGAAGAAACTGGAGCTCCCGGAGAAAACCCACACATGCACGGAGAGAACATGCAAACTCCACCCAGAAAGGCCCCTGGACCGGGGTTTGAACCAAGGACCTGCTCGCTGAGAGGCAGTAGCTCTACCAGTTGTGCCACCGTGCTTACCCACAACTTGTCATAGGTTTTTTCTATGTCAAAAAATGCTGCCATAACCATTTCTTTATTTAACCTGTGCTCTCCTAATTTCGTATTCCAAACATATTGTTGCATCATATGTATTACGGCCTTTTCTAAACCCGCTTTGGTATTTAGAAATATATCCTTTTTTATTTAAATAATATGTTAATCGGTCATTAATCATTTTTTCCATTATTTTACATATATTTGAAGTTAATGCAATGTGTCTATAATTTCCTGGTTTCGTTCTGTCCTTACCTGGTTTAGCTACTGGAGCAATAACTGATTCCTTCCAACTTAATGGTAGTTTCCCCTCCTCCCAGCCTTTATTATACATCTCTAAAATAATATATTTGGCTGTTTCACTAAGATGTTCTATCATTGTTTACCATACTTGATCTTTCCCGGGTGCTGTTTTCTTGGTTTTCCTGAGTGCACAATTTAATTCTGCTTTTGTAAAAGGTTCAATAAGTAGATTATTGGTTTCATCAATATTCTGTAGTAAGTCTTTATATTTTAATTTTGTTGTATTCCTACCTTTTCTTCCCTCTTCACTAACATTACATGTACTATGAATTATACTAAATGTTTCAGCTAAAATTTCCGCTTTTTCGTCATCTTTAACTATTGTTGTGTTATCTAATGTTAATACTGGATATCTATATTCCTTATTAATACCATCCATCCATCCATCCATTTTCTTTACCCGTTTGTTCCATTTTGGGTCACGGGGGTCGCTGGTGCCCATGTCCAGCAATCACTGTGCGAGGGGCGGGGTACACCCTGGACGGGTCGCAAGTCCATCACAGGGCCACATAGAGACAAACAAGACAAACAACCATTCACTCTCTCACTCACACCTAGGGACAATTTAGAGTTACCAATCAGCCTAACATGCATGTTTTTGGTTTGTGGGAGGAAACCGGAGCACCCGGAGAAAACCCACACATGCACGGAGAGAACATGCAAACTCCACTCAGAAAGGCCCCTGGACCGGGGTTTGAACCAGGTACCTTCTCACTGAGAGGCAGCAGCTCTACCAGTTGCGCCACCGTGCTGCCCCTTATTAATGCCATTCATTCTTTTAATTACTTTCCAATTTTTTTCAATTTTTGCTTCTCTCCCAATAGTATCACAAAAGTTCCTCCAATATTTTCTCTTTGCTTCCTTAATTATCTTCTTAACCATGGCTTGTTTTCGTTTATATTCAATAAGATTCTGGTAAATTGAATTACTTTTAAGTGCTTCTTGATTTTATTGCTTCACTACAATCATTTGTCCACCATGGTACTATCTTCTTATCTCTCTGTCTCCCTCCTTTTTTGATTGATTGTTCTGAAATCTCCAAAATCATTTTACAACACAACTATTTACATCATTAACATCCATTGTCATGTCAATTTTCTCCGTACTTTTATTACTCAAATATTTGAATTTATTCCAATCTGCTTTATTAAAGTTCCAGTTCTTATTTACTTTTATACTATTATTATTCAGTTTTATTCCAATTGTTATTTTAATAGGATAGTGATCACTACCAATTGTTGTATTTTTATTAATGTCCCACCAACTAATTTCAGCCACTGATTTTGACACAAATGTTAAATCTATTACTGATTCCGCTCCTGTTCTCACATTAATCCTTGTTCCCCTCCCATCATTAAGACATACTAGGTTTTTCATTTCTATTAACTCTTCAATAACTTGTCCATTTTTATTGTTACTTTTACCCCATAATGTACTATTTGCATTAAAATCTCCACACCATATAACTTTCCCTTCCATATATCCCATCATTTCCTCCATCATTTCAATTGTCAGTAGTTTACACGGATTATAAAAATTAATTATTCTACATTT